TTTCGAATGCCTGGGGATCCAACACACTGGTTGTTTTTAAGAAACCTGAAACACCTTGTTTAGTGAAAAGGAGAGGAGTACATATGCCACGAGCCATGACTCGGTTTTCAACCTTCCTTTGGTTCTCTGAAAATGCTATTGCTGTCTCCAAGCCAAAACCTCATCTCTTTACTTGCTGGCTGCACAACAAAGGCCAGGGCACAGAACAGGTTTGCCAGTCTCCAGGTGAAGAGGAAGAAGAAGAGAAGGAGAGACTTGATTTATACCCAGCCCTTCACTTGGAGTCTCAGAGCGGCTTACCATCTCCTTCTCTTCCCCTCCCCACAACAGACACCCTGTGAGTTAGGTGGGGCTGAGAGAGCTCTGAGAGAACTGCTCTTGAGAGAACAGCTCTGAGAGAACTGTGGCTTGCCCAAGGTCACCCAGCAGCTGCATGCGGAGGAGTGGGGAATCGAACCCGGTTTTCCCAGATTAGAATCTGCACTCTTAACCACGACACCAAGCTGGTGGCTGGAGATCTCCTGAGATTACCGCCGATCTCCAGGTGACAGAGATCAGCTCCCCTGGAGGAAATGGCTGCTTTGGAAGGTGGACTTTATGGCATTGTACCCTGTTGAAGTCCCTCCCCACCTCAGTCCCGCCCTCTCCATGCACCACCCCCAAAATCTCCAGGAATTTCCCAACCCAGAGGTGGCAGCCCTAGAACAGAAGCCCAACTACCTCAATAACCTCTCCTTCTCGACACAGTCGGTGCCTGAAGCCAGTTAACAGGGGCTGGGAATGTCCCTTGGGTCCTTCCGAGGCACCTCTGATAGAGAATTCTAGCAAATCACAACACCAGATGCTTGTAAGTAAAGGTAAAGGTTCCCTTGCTCGAAAGCTAGTCGAGTTCGACTCTAGGGATGCGGTGCTCATCTCCGTTTCCAAGCCGAAGAGCCAGCGCTGTCCGAAGACGTATCCGTGGTCATGTGGCCGGCATGACTAAACACCAAGGCGCACGGAACGCTGTTACTTGTACTGTTACTTGTACTCACGTGATTTCTACCAGGCGCTTCTGGATAAACCCCGTCTAAATAGAGGACGCCGAGATTGAAGGAGGCATCGGGACTGCCCATGGCTTCAGCTTTCAACCAATATTTGGTGGCTTTTGCATAGTCTTTCCTAAAGTGATGGTAATACCAGCCCAGCCCATTCATTGCCTGAGGCAGACCCTGTAGGGAAAAGGAACAAAGATAAGGCAGAGATCTTACAAGCGTTCATGTCCCTGCTTGTCTTCACCAGACCTCACTGGTGACAGAGAAATAGGGTACTTAGCCCAGGTTGGGCTTTCCACACTGAGCACTGTGGTATCCCGCCCGCCCCCGATAAAATCCTGGGATTTCCCACAGTTCTGGCTGAGTGCTGAAAAACTTTCATGAGCATGCAGGAAAAGAACACGATCCTGGAGGTCACGTGGATACAGCAAAGCTTTGCTGCACGTGGAAAGTAGGCAAGGGACAAGATCCCTCCCTGACCTCCTAGCTTTCCAGGTGCAAAGACTGTTTTAGATGGGACTACTCAGGGAGATGCGGTGGCTCAAGTGGTTAAGACGCTGAACTGCAGGCTGTGGAAGGTCAGTAGTTCAGCAGTTCGAGACCCGGGTGCCGCATGATGGAGTGAGCTCCCGTCTCTAGTTCTAGCTCCTGCCAACCTAGCAGTTCGAAAGCAAGAAATTGCAAGTAGATAAATAGGGACCACTTTGGTGGGAAGGTAACAGCGTTCCGTGCACCTTGGTGTTTAGTCATGCCGGCCACATGACCACGGAAACGTCTTCGGACAGCGCTGGCTCTTCAGCTTGGAAACGGAGATGAGCACCGCAACCCTAGAGTCGGACTCGACTGGCTTTCGAGCAAGGGAGACCTTTACCTTTACTTACTCAGGTTAACTGGTTTGGTTAGTTCAGTCACCATTAGTTAGCAGAGTGCTTAAATAAAGCTACAAACGCAGGAGCATCCCTTGACCAGGTTACTCAGCTTACAAAGCGACACAGAGCCACACTGCAAGTTTAGAAGAGAAATACTTCTCTCTTTATTTGAGAAGTACACTTCGGACAGGAAAGAGCAGAGACTGATAAATTACTAACTTGCTAGCTAAAGGATGGAGGCGGATGGCGAGAGGCCCGTCTGCCTCATGGTGCTGAGAGAGGACAGCGTGTCCCTCTCTCTTGGTGTGTGCAGGTAGGAGAGCACGTTTTCATTCAGAGTGAGAGAGAAGCAGGAAAGGGAAATTGGTCCCTGAGATCATCATCTGCATATCCAAGAGGACAGTGGCAGAAGAATGGATACAGGAAGAAAGGTCAGTGTGCCTGTCTAGCCTCTCGTGCCACTCGGTCTGGAGGTCTGAGGCAGGGGACATCCCATATGGGACAGCACTAGGTTTGGTGGCTTTTGCATAGTTACAACTGCTCTCCAGGAGACAGTGTGTAAATACACACAAAGAAACCTCCCTAGAGCAAGACCGATATAACGGGCTATGTGCTGTCCCTGAAAACAGCTGCTTATCTTCTTACTGCTTCTTAGTTTCCAGGCTTTCAGGTCCGCAGAGAGGCTAAGAAAACTGACATCACTTGACGGCCGTGGAGGTTTCGTTATTCTTCTTCAGAGTCAGAATATTCTTACGGAACCACGAAGTTTACACATTTTGCATGCCTTATCTCACTCCCACACAAGCTTAATTGCACACCTTTCGGCAGAGTGGTGATGGATGGAGATCTTTTGGGATTACAACTGACTTCCAGGCTATAGAGATCAGTTGCCCTGGAGACAATGGCCAGTTTGGAAAGTGGAGTCTATGGCATTGTACCCTACTGAAGTCCTGCCCAACCACAAACCCACCCTCCTCAGGTTCCAGCCCCCAAACCTCCAGGTATTTCCCAACTCGGAGCTGGCAACCCTATTTCTAAGAGTTGTCGATAGATGAGACCCAGGAGCAGAGATCTGCATGGGGCCAGTTGAGAAATTCACGATATAACCTGATGCAAATTACCTTTGCAGCAGCTTTTCTCATCAGATGTAGTGCAAGTCGTCGGTCTTTTTGCACGCCTTGACCCTGAACGACAAAGGAAATTTATTGCAGAGTTATGCAAAACTCTCTGTTTTTCATGCTAAAAACCCAAAATTGCCCATTTCGACTATGCGTTTGCAAATGCAAACACACAATTTTCATGCCGATAGGATTTCCTTAATATTTCCTAGCAGGAGTTGTACTTTGTTACTCTGTTCCAAGCACTGACCAAGCACCAAGTTGTTTCACATAGTTCTGCGTTCTGTGTTGTCGATTTTAAGTGTACAACATCCTGTGCAAGAAATCGGCACCTTCTTCCTTGGTGGATCTGAGACAGCTTGTTGGGAGCTTGTTGCATTTTTTCAGGACACTTATCTATAGCTGCAAGTATGCAAGTTTCTCTTTGGGAATCAGAAAAACATTGACATTTCTTCCATGCCTACTCAATTTCACCCGCCAATTACAGCAAGCAATTTAGCATTTAAATGGAAACATTTACTAGTTAAATGCTCTTTAGAGTCAATGCAAACACCAGTTTAATATTCCATCCATCCATTCAATGTTTCATCAAAGAATCATAAGAATATAAGAACCTAAGAGAAGCCAATGTTGGATCAGGCCAACGGCCCATCTAGTCCAACACTCTGTCACACAGTGGCCAAAAATACCAGGTGCCATCAGGAGGTCCAGCAGTGGGGCCAGGACACTAGAAGCCCTCCCACTGTTGCCCCCCCCCCCAAGCACCAAGAATACAGAGCATCCCTTGCCCCAGATCGAGAGTTCCTATCTATACCTTGCGGTTAATAGCCACTGATGGACCTCTGCTCCATATCTATATATCTAATAGCGAAACGTGCCCCCCGCGTGCGGATACCTAAATCCACGCATCGGGGGCACCTGGGGGGGAGGGAGATTTTTGTGCACACTTGGGGCAGTCCCCAGGTGTGCACAAAAATATGAAAACATGAAAAAAATATCAGGGGGATATGTAAATCCCCCCAAAAGTGACAGAGCGTCCCCTGCGCATGCGCAGGGAATGCTCTGTGAACTGCCTCACCGCCGTCGCCACAGGGGACGGGAGAGCAGCAGAAGGCTTGGCTGGCGGGCTGGTGGGCGGGGACCGGCGAGGCCCGGCGGCTGCAAGCCGCTCGGGCCTCGTGTCGGAGCGGTGGCGGCGGCGGCGGGGGACAGGCGAGGCCCAGCGGCTGCAAGCCACTCAGGCCTCGCTTTGGAGCGGGGGGGAGGAACAGGCGAGGCACGGCCTCACCTTGGAGCCGGGGGATCTGACCTCGCCGCTGCCACCGCCTCCTCGGAGCCGGCCGGCCGGGTGGGCGGGGGGAGGACCGGCCTCGCTGCCGCCGAGCCTGGCAAAGGGGGGAGGAAGGACCGGCCTCTCCGCCTCCGCCTCGGAGCCGGGCGGGGGAGGACCTGCCTTGCCGCCGCCGCTGAGCCCGGCAAAGGGGGGGAAGGACCGGCCTCTCCGCCTCCGCCTCCGAGCTGGGCGGGGGGGGAGGACCGGCCTCGCCGCTGCCGCCGCCTCGGAACCAGGGGGGGGAAGACCGGCCTCGCCGCCACCGCCTCGGGGAGATCGAGGGGGGTTGGAGGAGACGGAGCTCTTCTCCCCCCGTGCGAGTATCGCGGGTCCCCTTACTTGTGTTTATCTAATGCCCTCTTGAAGCCATCCATGCTTGTAATCAGTGAATTAGGAGGCCTGACAAGGATAACAGAACATTGTCAATGACTGGATGTGGATTCATTAAACTGAATTCATGCTTTCCAAGTCTGAATATTTTAAAAAAAAACCTGTATAATTTCCTTTTTAAATACTGGTCCTGCCTGGGCTCCAGATACTTTCCTCTTCGTCATCTCTTCAGATGAATACACCAGACTCTCTTCTTCATCAAAGACGAGGGTCCTGAGGCTCTGGAGTGAGCTGCCTGAGGAGATTTATTCGTCCCCCACCTTTCTCCTCGTCTCCATTTCATTCTCACCACAGTCCTGTGAGGCAGGTTAGGCTGAGAATGCACGACTGGCCCCCAAGGTCACCTAGCAAAGCTGGGTCTCCCGCGTCCCAGTCTGAAAGCAGAATGAATTGACTTAAGCCCAGAAAACCTGCTCTGAAAGAGGGACGTCAGATGGGCCATTCAGTGTCTGCACCACTGCTTAGGTCTGGCCAGAGGGGGAAACGGCTGGGAGGCTAAGCATACCAGCCAATATTCTATGTGGCATTTCGCAGTCCTTATCAAGGCTCTCTGGTCTGGGCGACGAGGAGACCCTGCCCTAGCAGCACCTCGTGATGGCCTCAGAACACCGTCGCCTCAGCGTCAGTCGGACAGGAGCCAGCTCTCAGAAAGAGAAGGCAGGCAGGGGAAACTGAGGCCGAGGAGCTCCAGGCCATCTGCTCCTGAAGGAACCACTAAAGGCCTGTGAGAAATTGGGTCCTCCCCCAACTTCCCTGGGCCTGCTCCGAGGTGTGTGTCCTGAGGGAAAAGCAAGAAAGGAGGAGTCCAAGCCGGGGAGCTCAGGCTCATCCGGCCTCTTCTAAGTCCACTGACTTCAGTGGAGTTTAAAAGGTGGCCCCACTGGTGGACCTCCTGAGGGCACCTGGTGTTTTTGGCCACCTTGTGACAGAGTGTTGGACTGGGTGGGCCACTGGCCTGATCCAACATTGGCTTCTCTTCGGTTCTTATGTTCTTAACTCTCAGTCTGGGGCAAGTGATGCTCCATATTCTTGGTGCCTGGGGGGGGGGGGCAACAGTGGGGGGGCTCCTAGTGTACTGCTGGACCTCCTGATGGACCCTGGTATCTTTGGCCACCGTGTGACAGAGTGTTGGACTGGATGGGCCACTGGCCTGATCCAACATGGCTTCTCTTATGTTCTTATAGGAGCTCTCAGTCTGGGGCAAGTGATGTTCTGTAATCTTGGTGCTTGGGGGGGGCAACAGTGGGAGGGCTCCTAGTGTCCTGGCCCCGCTGCTGGACCTCCTGATGGCTCCTGGTATTTTTTGCCACCGTGTGACAGAGTGTTGGACTGGATGGGCCACTGGCCTGATCCAACATTGGCTTCTCTGATGTTCTGATGTGTGACTCTGCTTAGGATAGCACTGTTCAAAGCCCATCTTACCTTGAACAGCACAATGGAAAAATCATAGAGGGACACTGGGTCTTCGGTTTCCAAGGCACCCTTTGCATACCACTCAACAGCTGCTTCAGGGTTTTTTTCTACTCCTTGCTGCCCCCAAAACAGCATCTGTCCCAGCCGTTGCTGTAAGAAGGAAAAAACACAAATAAATATAAAATATGACTGACCGTGGGCCTTTCTGCATTCTCATTTTCCTTCCTTGTGTGTTCCTGTTTCTTCGGGGGCAGTTTCTGTTCCGCATGTGTGTTGCAGCCTCTAGTGGTTGAATTGTTATTACATTGCTTTATGTCCAGCATATAAAACTTGCTGTTTAAATCTGCAGGGAGATAGGTCAGGCATAATGCACTGTAATATCGAATCAACCACTAGAGAGAGCAAAACACATGTGAAACAGACCTCCCCCCCCCTCCAAAGCAACAAGAACACACAAGCAAGGAAAATAAGAATTTTCATAAATGTATTTAATTCTCATAGGGCCAAGAGAGATGCAATCATATACAGAGTAGATACAGTCAATTAATTTCAGGGGCCTTAGACTGGAGCAATTCTGCATGGGATTTTGCTGTTGAAACACATTTAGTTCTGGGCATGGTGTGACAGTCCAGGCCAATGCAAAAACTACCTTCCTAGAACAGGACTTCTCTTGTATTTCAGTCCCTGCGTCCATGCTTGACATTTCAATAGGAATATTCATGTATCCTCAGCCACGGTCTCAAGCTGTGTATGCAATTTTTGTCAGTGGTAATTGTTGTCAGCAGGGGTCGTTTGGCACCGGAGCGCACCGGAACACTGCTCCAGCAGCCCAGGAGCAGGCACAAATGGCAGCGGCAGCAAGCCCTGGCCCCAGCCCCCAAGCTCCTTCTCTCTAGCCCCATAGAATACAATGGAAAGATCATGCTGCAGTGGCGCCGCGACTCAAGAGAGAAGGGATTTAAACTTTAAATTCCTTCTCTCTTCCTTTCCCCCCCCCCCCGCCCACCTTGGCAGGCCGGCTGGGGAAGGGAAGGGGAGGCTTTTGAAGATGCCTCCCTCCCCTTTTTACTTCCCCTTCTGACATCACTTCTGGTGATGTCAGGGGGCATGGCATGTTCTAATGAGCAATTATGCTAACAGCTTATTCGGTATGCCACTGAGCTCCTGCAGCTCTTTTTCTATGAAATGACCCCTGGTTGTCAGAGACACTATTTCAGAGATCTACCCATATGCAGTTCCCCCATCCCCATTGATATTGGTTGGTTTCCATGAGCTTCGGTTGGAGTAACTCTACGCAGGATGGCACTGCAGACGTTCCTGATGGAACTGGTGTATTAACCTGCCTGAATCAAAACACTGGTTCACATGCAGGCTTGCCAGTTCCCAGGTGGGGCCTAGAGATCTCCCAGAATTACAACTGATCTGCAGAAATCAGTTCCCCTGGAGAAAACAGATGCTTCGGGGGGCAGAATCTGTGGCACTTGGCTGAATTTGCACATGGCCCAAAGCTAGTCTACCTGTGCAGCTGCGTTCCCTCTCGTTGCTTCGTATTTCAGCCACATAAAGAGGTCACCGTTTTCTTTGGTTTGAGCTTTCAGTAAGTTGTCGTCCTCAAGCCTTATCACTTCTACAAAGGCCTAGAGCAAAAGAAAGAAAACCTTAAAGACCTCATTCACATCCCTGAAAAGGGCAGGTGTGCTCTGTTCCAACACTCGGCATTCCTATATTTTGCAAACACCTTTGGGTCATTTTAAAGTAGGGTTGCCAGGTCTTACCCATCTGCCGGTGGGGGGCTCCTGGCTTGGTCCCAGGGTCTTCTGGGAGTGACGTCATCACGCTAGGCATGTTGTACAAAAATGCTCTAGCATTTGGCTAAAAACTCTATGGTCACTGCCTGATGTGCCTGGCGTGATGACGTCGCCTTTGGGTGACATCACTACACCGGGCACATCGGCCTCAGTGGGACTCTTTGGGGGTGGGGCTACCCCCCGGCCAGCTGGCCAGTGGTGGATTGGGGCCCCCAAAATTGAGGAAACCCCCGGCCCCCATGAGGGGGTCAGCAAGCCTATTTCTAAGCTGATGCAGAAGAATCAAAGCTCAGAGGAAGAACGTATGCTTCGCTACAGAGATTGCCCAGGTTCAACCTCCTTTATACTTTTATTCTATGCCTGGTAATTTCACTTTGGAAGTAAGTCAATGTGTTTTCTTAGTATAATATAGGCATTGTTTATTTATTCATTTCATTATATGTATTTAATTTCACGTGTTTTTTTTTTTTACAGCAATTATTTTCTGGTCCATTTTGTAGTCATGCTGTATAATTATATTGTATTATGGTATAAGCCAATTTGTTCCTCATTGTGTTTGACCTCTAAAGAAGGCCGAAACAGGCCGAAATGCATCAGGTCAAGTCCATTGGCCCTTGTGTGTATGATTTTGGAATTTTTACATGAGGTGTAATTGGGCCCCTATATGTGTTTTTAATCTTTACAAATAAACACATGTATTTTTATATATTATATATATTAAGTTTTAATTGTTGGCCCTCTACTCTGTTTAACTTGAAGAAGAAGAAGAAGAAGAGGAGGAGGAGATTGGATTTATACCTTGCCCTTCACTCGGAGTCTCAGAGTGGTTTACAATGTCCTTTCCCTTCTCCTCCCCACAACGGACACCCTGTGAGATAGGTGGGGCTGAGAGAGCTCTTTCGAGGACGCCCTTGAGAGAACAACTCTGAAACAACTTGTAACTGACCCAAGGTCACACCAGCAGCTGCATGTGGAGGAGTGGGGAATCAAACCCGGTTCTCCTCTGAGGTGGGGGGGGGGCTGAGGGAGCTCTTTCTAGAACTGTCCTTGACAGAACAGCTCTGCCAGAACTAAGGCTTGCCCAAGGTCATCCAGCAGCTGCAAATGGAGGCGTCGGGAATGAAACCCACTTCTCCCAGATTAGAGTCCGCGCACTTAACCACGACACCAGACTGGCTCTCATATCATACGCATTAATGAAAACGCATTAATAAATAAGCTGCTGCCGCATTAAAATATTTTAGGTGGGGAAATAAATCCAGACATTGCATATTTATTTTACTTGGTCTCCTTCTGCGTGCTGATGATCACGAGGTGTCTTTACGGCAGCATCGCTATAGTAGGCGTACGACATCTCCAGATTGTGCGGGTAGCCGTCAATGCCTTGGTAGTGCTTATATCCGAGGCTGATCAAAGCCAGCCTATCGCCTCCCTGAGCGGCGATCAAACTGTACAGCAGCCCCTAGTAAAAACGAAAACGACAGAAACGTGAGTTTAACAACGACATTGAAAACGTGTTATAATGAAAATCTGGCAAGCGATTGGTCAGTTTCTGTAAACAATAGCAGATGTTTTACAATTAGCATTCGTTATTTGAGTCCTGTAGCACCTTAAGCCCTGATCTTGATAGCCCAGACTAGCATGATCTCCTTGAATCCTGGAAGCTAAGAAGGATCGACCCTGGCCAGTATTTGGATAGGAGTCCTCTAAGGAATACCAAGGTCATGACCTGGAGGCAAGCCACGGCAAACCACCTCTGAATCAACTCTTGCCTTGAAAATCCTACAGGGTCACCATAACGCAAAGACAGCAAAGAAAAAGCACCTTAAACAACAACATTTTTAGAGTATAAGCTTTTGTGGGTCAAAGCTCGCTTCCTTGGCTTTCTGAGGAAGAGAGCTTTGACTCACAAAAGCTCACACCCTGGAAAATGTCAGTCTGTAAGAACATAAGAGAACATAAGAGAAGCCAATGTTGGATCAGGCCAATGGTCCATCTAGTCCAACACTGTCACACAGGGCCAAAAATACCAGGTGCCATCAGGAGGTCCAGCAGTGGGGCCAGGACACTAGAAGCCTTCCCACTTTTGCCGCCCCTCCCCAAGGACCAAGAATACTCTGCATCCCTTGACCCAGCCTGAGAGTTCCTATCTATACCTTGTGGCTAATAGCTACTGATGGACCTCTGCTCCATATGCCTATCCAATTCCCTCTTGAAGCCGCCCATGCTTGTAACTGCCACCACCTCCTGTGGCAGTGAATTCCATGTGTTAAATCACTCTTTGGGTGAAGAAGGACTTCCTTTTATCTGTTCTAACCCGACTGCTCAGCAATTTCATTGAGTGCAATTTCTTTAAGGTGCTACTAGACTCCGACACAGGGTTTCCAGCCTCCAGGTGGGGCCTGAAGAACTTCCACAATTACAACTGATCTCCAGATGACAGTGATCAGTTCCCCTGGAGAAAATGGTTGCTTTGGAGGATGGACTCTATGGAATTATACACCAATGAGGCCCCTCCCCTCCACAGACCCCATTCTCCACAGGCTCCACCTCCAAAATCTCCAGGTATTTCCCAACCCAGAGTTGGTAACCCTTCGTCCTGAGGACTAACATGGATACCTATCTTATACATGCTAAATTATTGTTATGCTTAATAGTAAATTTATAACAAACAGGAATGCAAATTAGTACATTCCCCCTTGCAGTGGCCAGCTAGATTTTATATATATATATATTTTAATTTATTAATTAAAATTTAAAATTTAAAATACAATCAATAGCTATGAGTCGAAATAGCAGCAAAAATAAAATCGGGAGGGGGAATGATATCTGGGGAGTTTCCTCAATACAAGTGATGAACTTGTGGATGAGCAGGAGCGTTCAGCATTGAAGCAAATGTGACAGCCTCAGTTGATGTGGAAATACTCTTAATTGGTTCAGTGGATGCAGCCACTTATCACCCCATGTTGTCAATAGATTGCACCATCAACCAAACAGTAGCCCTTCATATTTTGGTTTTCTTATTTGTTCCCAGTCGAATTTGTCTATGTTCATTTTCTCTAATACAGGGTACCATTTATCCATGGGGTTAAGCTGGTGATACTCAACATGTGTAGTATTTGTCCAGGACACCTGTTGTCAATAGATTGCACCATCAACCAAACAGTAGCCCTTCATATTTTGGTTTTCTTATTTGTTCCCAGTCGAATTTGTCTATGTTCATTTTCTCTAATACAGGGTACCATTTAT